TAAACCGCATAAACATTTCATTACACCAAATACACAAAATAATGTTCTTTTTAGCAACATCATATGACCCCTTTAAGCAGGACCTTGCAAAATTTGCAGATCATCAATGACAGTAAATCAAACATTGTTAACAATACTTGACTGCCGTATGAAAGACAGAACTTTAAAGACATGAAAATTCTGTTATCATTTACTCACCCTCATGTTGTTCCAAACCTGCATGACCTTTTTTCCCTATAGACCACAAAAGAAGTTGAGGTTGAGCAAATGATGCCAGAATTTTCAGTTATTGGAGAGGAACAAATATCCCTTTAACAAAAATCCCCCTAAAACTGCTTTCCGTTTGATCAAACTTAGCTCTAACTTTTTGTAATCCTAAAAATATCTCACCTGAGTGCGCACAGGTATTAGGCTAGTAAGCATAGCGAGTAGCGGCATATGGATCCCGCGGTATGTCATACGCAGAGCTCCTGGGAAGCGAAGAGACAGGAGAGAGGCGCGACCGCTCGTACGCGTATCCCTCCGCCTCTAGGGGAGCTCGCCGGATCGGGCTCCGCTCGCGGACATAGTATGAAGAGGTGGGAGCCGGAGGAGGGGGAAGGGGATGGCGCTCATATGGGTCATGGTTAGAGGAGGACAGGCGCTCTCTCACGATCGCTGAGGAGGATGGGGGAGGAGGGACAGGAGGTGGAACCGCGCGTCTATCTTCGAAATAACTTGCTCCGTACGGACGTGCCCGATATTTCTCGTAGAAGTCCACCACCCCGTACGGATCTCTTTCCTCATAGGGCGGTCGGCGTATTGGGTACGCAGGCATCGCACCGCCATAGGCCACGCCACTGCTCCCATACGCAGCCTCACTGCCGTACGCGGGGGCCATGCTATTATCCGCACCAATGCTGTAGCCCGCTGGCATACCGTAACTCATTGCGCTCTCAAAACCCGCGCCCCTTCCATACCCTGGGACGCCGTACCCTGCTCCCCTGGAGAAGCCATGTGAAAAGTTGCCACCGAAGGCCGGCTCGCCACTGTAGCCACGATGAAACCCCCGGCCACCACGTTCGCCACCCGCACCGAACCTGAGGGGCCCATATCCTGCCGAGCCTGGGCCCTCTCTGTAGGAGCCGTTCTGGTCATTTGGGCATTCTTTGGACCAGTGGCCTTCCTGCCCGCACCGATAACAACCCGTTCTCTCTCCCATTCCCGGCGCGGTACGCAGGCGGCTAGTCGAAAGCTTCACGCTCATCAGTTTGCCTTAAGGAAAAGAAAGAATTTGCCATGATATTTCTATTTAACTTTTTAGCATGCACACGGATCAAACGTTCAGTAGGTCAAAGCAGCCATAAACTTAGATTTCACGCTACGTTTCAACACATTTATCGACAAAAACACGGCCAGAATTTTTCAAGTGAAAATCGCCACTATTAGAGTTCAATTATAATTGAATGTCAACGTTAAACACTGTTCGCAACCCACTTACTTCTGTAATCTGACGCATTTCAGAGCAAAACAGGATTTTAAAAAAACGTTATGGCTGATAATTGATAAAAGGCAGTCATTATACTTTCTACTAAATTTCTTAGAAACACTAATAAAACACTAACAACTAAAATAATTTTTGTACACTGATTGCATTTAAGATCATAACTTTATAATGTAAAGTTTGAAAGAAAGATGGATAAATATAATAAGTATGTGGATTGAATAAGCAAAATGAAGTCATCCTAATAATAGATCTCAAAGAGTTGCCAATAGTCTTTGAATAATTACTATGCTACTATAAAACAGTGTTTGTATTTTGTACAGCATATTTATGTTGCATTTAAGTAACAAATAAAGGTTGTTGTACGGTTTTTTTTCAAGAAATGAATTTAATATTTTTAACGCACAGCACCTTATGCCGACATTCACAAAAAAGATCAATAACTAATATGGTGCTAATATTTTGTGCATAAAATATGTTGTTCAAGCAAATAGGGTCAGTTTTTATTTTAATGTTGACTTGAAGTGCATCTTTAACATTACACAAATTTCTGCTCATGAAAAGTCTCACTTTGATGAACGATTTCGAACGATTTCCCTTGCTTTTTAGGATGAAAATAATTTCAATGAAGAACTGATCAGCTCAGTTGACATCCTCTATTGACCTCCATATAATAAACTAACAGTAGAAATCGAATTTTCCTCCACTTATCACTTACCAATTTTTCTACTTACCAACCTGTAACGAGGCTCACTTTTGGAACAAACATAAGATAAAATTGAGCTAAAAGGACCATACTTGTTCACCTTGAAATGCTGTGTTGTCCAAGCCACTGATGGCCTCCATAGCATCTTCCACTCGCTCCATGTGAACAAATGCATAGTCTTTCACTATGTCACACTCCACCACAGGACCATACTCCTCAAACTTGGCCCTGAGTTCTTGGTTGGTGCAGCTACTGCTGATGTTTCCGACGTGAAGTTTTGTAGAGGCCTTGGGCTTCCCTTTGCTCATCTCCACATTCATGGGCAAACCGTTCAGCATGTAATGGTGAAGATTTCGAATGGCTTCATCTGCCTCTGCTTTGTCATCCATGTGCACAAAGCCAAAGTTTTTCACAATGTCACACTCAGATATTTTGCCATACTGAGAGAAGAGGGAACGGATCTCCTCAGCCGTAGTGTTCGGCGAAAGGTTCCCAACAAAGATTTTTACCATTTTAGTAATGTAAAGTCAACGTTCAGGCCCTGTTGCGAGAAAAAAAACAACATAATATTTTATTATTATTTATTATAATATTTATATATTTATTACGACACTGCAGGATGTGTCTTAAAAGACAGGTAAGCTACATGTAATTCTATGATGCCAGAACAAAGGCAGACTTAAAATGATACAATACATATACAAAATATACTCCTGCTTATATTAGACAATAAAACATATGAAATACATATGAAGGAAAACGTTATAAACGTGCGCATTCTTATCGCAAAACAGGACAACAGTAATGTCTAATTGTTAAACAAGTCTTTTGAATCGAACCTTTAAATGAATCGAAATTTAAAATGGTCTGAGAGTCTCTCGAATCAACAATTCAATGACTCGTCGAACAGATCGTATCTTTTGGACATTTTTTGGGGCAAAAAGTAACAAGATAAGCCAAAAATAACACTAACTGAATGCCTCTGCGTCCCAATGTGCATACTATCCATCCTAAATTCTATATTTAGGGCAGATAGTATGCACATCGGGACGCAGGGATTGGATATCAGTTACAAAAAAAAAAAAAACCTTTTTTCAAATATTTTAGAGCATGTACAATCATGCCACATCGGAATGTCAGCGAAACGGAATTGTTCGAAAGAATCGACTCGCGAAACAAGGCGGGCTTCCCATCACTAGAGGACAATGGACAAAAAAGCTACACTTGCTATGCATTGATTTATGACCCGCGCGAGCCAGCAACACCTCAACATCTGAAATATCGATACAACAAGATAAGCGTCGTATCAATAAGTAAAGAATCCAAAGCATTCGTACTGCATATATTATAATAATCAAGTTAGCTTACAGTCCATCTAGCCCTGCAACAGCTAGCTAACCGGGAATACGGGCAGAAACACTGTGGGGAACGAATGAAACACCACAAAATATAGGAAATGTAAGATTAGAGATTAGCTGTTCAGTCAAGAGAACACTTGGCTATTTTGATCCAGAATAAAGGATGTTTTTCATACCTTTTCACGATGCTTGCAGGAGCCGGCGCGAGATGAAATGGCGTCCCTCTTGCGTCGCATACGGCGAGGCTGGCTGGAGAATAGCGTTGCATGGTGTTAACACTGTCCATCCCCTTTTCTTTTCTCCACTCTCAAAGTCCGCTGTAATTGCTTTCAACTGGAGTTTTCGGAGATTTCAAAGCACCACATGGCCAGATAGATCGTGTAATGTTACGTAATAAAGCCTTAAAGTACCAAAAACAACTCAGAAGATCCATTTAATTGAATGATAATCATGTATAAAGAGAGGATTCTATTATTAAAGACAGACAGATATTTGTGTCACCAAAATACTGGTTTATTACAAAAGATAATTGATAAAACACTCCCGACTTCTGTAGGAAATATACAAACTACAGAAAATCAAATTTATAAACATTTTCACAGAGCTTCCCAAGGCACCCATAAAGAAGAATCGCCGGTAAACGCTAGCGGTCTCAAAAGGTGAATAAAGCCCTGAGTGGGAGTTGGTCAGCACATCTAATGCAAATTTCCAATTCACTCACATGTACAGTCCACCTTTCCATCTAGGTGAATCTTCTTACGATGTAAAGATCTCCTGCCATAAACAGTCATTGGGGTGTACAGAACAGAAAACAGTGTGCATCCCACTGAAAGCTGCCCAACTATTTAGGTTGTATATCAAATCATATTTAAAGGACTAGCACATCGGTTAGAGGGGGTAAACAATCAAAACAAGCTCAAAATTCTTATCCAAGCTTCCAAATCGCAAAAACTCACAGACACTGGTAAGAGAAACAAGTTGACCATCCTGTTGAACGCACCAATTAGATACAACACAATTCAACAAGCAAGCACAATTCAAATCTGAAGAGTTTGTATATACCAATCACCTGTAGCAAATAATAAAAAGAATGTTGGAATGTTGAATTTTAGAGTTTGTTTTCCCATAAAGCTTTTTGCAGCCACAGGATTAATTACAGATTGCCACTCCTCCCTAAAAACAAAACTGGCATTATCGCCAGAAGAAACATAACCAGATTGTCCTCACAGAACTTAAATCAAAGAAATTAAGTGGCAAGCCAACCCGACAGGCTCCAGAAAAGTCTTGGAGCATAAAAAAAAAAAAAAAAAAAAAAAAAAGAAAAATAGATTTTATGTTTTTAATAATTT